TCAAAAGTGGAGAGACTTCTGGGAGGAACTGGGGGGAAAACATGTCCGCTGTGACCAAAGCCTGTTCTCTCCTTGGTGTCCCATAAGCCCAAGCAGCCTTCAGGTTTAACCTTGTGGATTAATTTGGTCCACAGATTTGTAACAGGAAGTAGGGTACAGACAGACTTAGTAAAGTGTTACAGACTGGATACATTTCAGTTAAGATCAAGGCTTCCCCCAGTTTGCAACACACTTCCCACCATCAAAGTTTGACAGTTTGCTGAACATAAGGATTGAAACAGAATGTCTAATGATTGATGACCTCAAATTATCTCTGGGAAAATGGATACTCACATAACTATATATTAAATTAGACATGGTTTTTAAAAGGTTTTGGAGGTTTTGGTTTTGGTAATATGGAGCCTCCAACCTAGCTCCTTTCACATGCTATGCAAACCCTGCCACTGAACTGTCTCCCTACCTCAAAGGAGTATTCTTCACTATAGTTACTTTTAAAATCAATAAAATACTTTTCTTCTATAGTATTTTTCTAACCTTTTCTGGAGGAATAAAATGAAGAAAGATGAAGATAAAATTATTTATAATCATCACTGGATCAGGGTTAATGGTTCTAGATCTATTTTTATTCTGGTCTGGTAAAATGGCATAATAGGTAGAGACACTTCATACCAAACTGGAAATTTACCTTGAAGTCTGTATTGTTTGTTCAAAGATATCTAAAGCTCATTTGGAAGTTGCTACCATTTGTAACCCAAGTGTAAAGAAACTCAAATTGCCAGATTGTAGAATTTTAATTATAGAATTTTTATATAATTATATATCAAAATATATTCATCTATCTGTCTCTATGTCTGTCTCTGTATTTCTTTCTTCTTTTTTTTTGTTTTTTTGTTTTTCAAGACAGGGTTTCTCTGTAGCTTTTGGAGCTTGTCCTGCAACAAGCTCTTGTAGACCAGACTGACTTCAAACTCACAGAGATCCACCTGCCTCTGACTCCAGAGTGCTGGTATTAAAGGCGTGTGCCACCACCGTTCAGCTCCGTCTCTGTATTTCTATCTCAGTGCTACAGAGCAAACCCAGCATGTTCCTTGCACATGTTAGGAAAATATATATAAAAGAACATTTCATAGTAAATTATGAACTAGGGCTGTAGCTCAACAGTAGAGTGTTTAACCATCATGTATAAGCCCTATGTGCAATCTTCAAAACAGCAAAAGTAAATAAAATATAATAAAGTAGTCTCAAAAATATTTTTATTTTTAAGTAGAAAGAAACAGAACTCATTTTTAGGGGAAAAAAATACTTTCCTGGTTAGAAAACAGCAGTAAGTCAGACTTATTTTAAAAAGAGTCATCTGTGTTGGGAAAGAAATCATTTTCTAGTTCAGTGACTTAATACTGCACTTTAGAAGGATGCGCTCCTTGAGGGACAAATCAGTTTAAAAATACTCCTCATAAAAAGGTTCACCAGGAGATCAGAAAACCTTCATTTTACAGCTACTTCTTAAAATGCCTCAAAACCATTTACATTTCAGTGTTGAATAGGAAAAAAGCCAAAAGTGGGTTCTGGATAAGACAGCACTTGATGGACAGGGGCATCTTTTTTTGAGAGTTCCTTCATCCCTGTAGGACATCCCTACACAGCTAAAGTGGTAAGACACAATGTAAGCGGAAGCTGTTTAACTCCCCACCCCCGAGTCACTGTCTAAGCAGAAGGCTGGCCTGCCCCCCACCCCAGACTCCCACTCTTCACCTTCCTAATCTTTCAACGGGAATGCCAATCCTCCTCCACTTCTGTGCTTTTTAAAGTATAGGCTTCTGCACTTAACTGCACAGCTCCGCTAAACCTCCACAGGGAGTGTCACTGCATGTTGTTCAGTGTCTTTCTAAAAAGGGGCCCAGGAGACACCCATTAACAGGGGATCAGAGATGGGCAATTCCAGCATCCCGCCATATCCTGTAGCATCGTGACCCCAAATGGTGCTGCTTCGCAGGACCACTCCTACCCAACTCTGTTGACTCTGTGCCATGCCACTTTACTAAGGGTCAGAATACAAACAGTCCGAGGAACTGCCTCCCACAAAAGAATGGTTTGGAGGGACACACTGGTGAAACTTCTTTCTTGTATTTGTACTAGAAAAGTCCATGTTGCTTCTGATGGTGAGATTGTTCCTTACAGAGAGTGCAAAACTTGCGTCTAATCATATGCCCTCTTTAAACTGACTGATTCCAGGCGAAGCCAATTGTTGAGCTGTTTCTGTTTCACACTTTATATGTCTAAGCTCACTGGACCAGTTTATGGGTTAGTTAGCTTTCTGCTATTGTAACAAAACACCTGAGATGATCAGCTTAAAAAATTGAAAGGTTGAACCATTCGGTGGTGGTGCATGCCTTTAATCTCAGCACTCAGAAGGCAGCCGTAGGTGGATCTCTGTGGGTTCGAGGCCAGCCTGGTCTATAGAATGAGTTCTAGGACAGGCTCCAAAGCTACAGAGAAACCCTATCTCAAAGAACAAAGAGAAAGAAAGAAAGAAAGAAAGAAAGAAAGAAAGAAAGAGGGGAGAGAGAGAGACAGAGAGAATGAGAGGGAGGGAGGTAGAGAAGAAGAGAGGGAGGGAAAGAGGGAGGGAGGGAGGGAGGGAGGGAGGGAGGAAGGAAGGAAGGAAGGCAGGCTGGTTGTTGGGCATGGTTATTCAAGCACTGTAGAGACTGAGACAGAAGTATTACCAGAAATTTCAGGACAACTAAAACTGTCTTACCCCCAACCCTACCCAACGCACTGTACATATAAGAAAATGGTTTCTTTGGGCTCACACTTTGAAGGTTGAAGCCCCATCGCTTGACTTTGTGCTAAGGCTTATCTTCAAGGTGGGAATATGTAGTACAGGAAATTGTTCATGGCAGCTGAGAAGCAGAGTAAATACAGGAAAATACTGGATCCCAATGTTCTCTATGAGGGCTATGCCCAAAAAATAGGCTCCCTCCTACTAGGCTCCACCTCTTAAATGTTACACTACCTCTCACCAGAACCACAGGCTGAGGAATGAACACATAGGCATTTGAGGTGTATTTCCCTCATGCTTGCCTTTTGCACATTACCTTACCTCTTTAAAACAATCTCATTAACTCCTTTTTGGAAAGAGGTGGATATAAATAAAGTTCTATGTAAGCAACAATTTTTCTGTAAATAAAGTTTGTTAGGTTCTTAAGAGGGTTGGCGGGGGGGGGGGTGCACACATGCCATGTGTATAGAGACCAGAAGTTGACATTGCAAGTCATCCTCATTTGCTCTCCACCATCTCTCTTTGAGGCAGGGTCTCTTACTGAAGCTGGAGCTCACTGCTCAGCTAGACTAGCTGGCCAGTGGGTCCAGGGATCCTGCAGTCTCCACATCTCCAGTGCTAGACTGGAGGGTGCATGCTGCCACCCAGACTCTACATGTCTTCTGGGGGGTTAGAGTCAGATAGTTGTCCTTGTAGGGCACTCTACCAACAGAGCCATCTCCCCAGTCCTAAGAGATGCTTTAAGCTTCAGGGTTTAAAAAGGTGCTTCTTAACACTTGTCTGGGAATAATTAAGACAGAAGGCTTTCCATAAAGATTTTAGATTTCAGATTTTATTTTTCATATTTTATAAATGTAATCTTTTGAAAATGCAGGTACATATAAAACACCAAGAAATGTTTCAAATTATCCCTTTGTCATTTACTAAGAACAGAATTTCTTTACATGTATCAGATCCATCTATAGTTTATATATTGACACCTATTTAATAAATTCCATTTTAGAATTATTTGTTAATGATTTAACATTTATGACTTTCTTACCCCCAGAAAAAAAAACCCTGGAATGTCTCATAATGAATATATGTGTGTGTATACATTATCAGATAAAGCTAAATGGGAAAAAGAACCTCAGGATAAAATACTGAACTTCATGCAGGCATCAAATTTAGCAGTTTTTGGTCAGAGTGCTTGAGAATAAACGGTTATGAGTGCTCAGCCCTAAATGGAACATCTTTATCACTCCTCCCACCCCTGCCAAGGCTCAGGGAACATCACAAAAGAGGAGGCGGGGAAGATGTAGGAGCTGGAGGATGGGAGGAGTGCTGTGAAATGCTGTCTTCTGGACATGGTGTGGCTAGTATGCTCGTGAACTTAGCAGCTGTGCTTAGCTGAGAAGACTCACACAATTAAACCAGCCAAAATCCCAGCCTACATGGGGAAGTAACTCCTGAGAAACTTCCCCTAACGTAGAACCTGTTGGCAGGTGATAGCTGCTGGGAGGAGTGACTACTAACAGGTTCCCCATGTTCCAGGAGACAGCCCCATGCCACACACATACAGGCAGCCCTAAGTGGGCTATGAAAAAGAAAAACAGAGGACTTGAAGCTGGGAGGTGGATGTGAGGGGTGGCATGGAGAGTTAGGATCATAGTTCATCGTAAACACATATGCAGTTCTCAAAGAATAAAGTGTCAGTTCCTAATATTCAAAATTATGAGAGAAGCAAGTTTTAGAGTTTTAAAGATTTCAATTCTTGATTATAGAAAAAAATACTGCTATCTTTATTCCTGTAAGATCGCAAAACTTTCAAGTTTTGGAAGTTAGTCTCGGGACTGGAGCGAGGTCGCTGCCGTTGAGGGAATTGCTGTTTTTGCAGAGCATCAGAGTTGGTTCCTAGCACTCCTGCCAGGCAGCTCATAACCTCCTCTATGTTCAGCTCCAGAGATCGTATGTCCTCTTCTGACCTACATGGGGACTGGCACACATAGAACACACACAGACACACATTCACATAAGTAAAAATCAAAATAAGTCTTTAAAACTTAATTTCTTTAAGTGGAGAAGGATATTCTTGGGTCATGTTTCAATGTGTTTTTGCAGGTTTGTTTTTTCATATATGCTGGAATTAGGAAATGTCTGTATCAAAATCTTGTACATACCTTACATTCATGTGAAACACGTGAATGCCACTCTTAACAAACAGCTCTCATTTTTGCAG